GTCTGCTATTCATGTCAGTTATCAGCGAGTCACAGGACCTCCCAAAAAGGATTGAGATTAAGCCCATCACATTTTCCCCACAGCTTCCTTAGTGGGTGATCCGCAAACCACATAGGCGGATAAAAAATTCAGCTGCAGAACAAATCAGGACCATGCTGACTAACATAGGCGCGATGCAGGTTTGGTCTGTCTGCTGGCTTGGGTCTCTAGTCCAGGTACAGTCTCTCCAGACCATCCCTCCAAGTTCAGGATACTCACACCATTACCAAACTCCCTGCTTACAGATCTCACTCCTAAAACAAGTTTTACCCAGAAGCATCAGTATTACTGAAGGACACGAAACTGTTGCTTGATGCCTCAAGTGGCCCTCCTTCCACCACACAGGGGTTGAGATTTAAGAACCTTCCTCCCTACTCCCCAAAAAGGGGAGAAGGAACTCCTCTAGTAGGCAGAAGAAGAGGCTCTGGTGCCTACATCTTCTCTGGAGCAAGGGCTTCTTCTCCTAACATTTTGGTGAAAGTGTTGAGCACGCAATAACATTTTAAGTTTTGCTGCTCTTGTGCTAACCACACTGTAATCACAAGCAGTCCTGCCTCATCTGGATGAGGAATCAGGTTTTCAAGGGAAACACAGCTGAGAAAGGCTTCAAACAGGATCTGATTAGCCAACTAGAACCAGATGCGGTGCTGGCAGACAGGCTGCTGTGGATCATCGAATACAATCCCCTTCCCCTCGGTTTTGTACATTATGTCCTTCCAAGCAAAGCCACCTCCCCCAGAGCTATGTCTAAACTGCATTAGGAATCTTGGCGTGTTTTCAGTTATACATGTTGTGAATGGTTTTGCCATTTAAAATATTTTAGAGGGGCTGGAGAGTCAAGTAGTTGACTGCTTATCAGAAATCCACCTGGTATGGCAGAGGCCATGCTGCAGAGCCCCGGGCTGCAGCCTTTTAATCTCCGTGTTCTTCAACCTTTAGGAGAAAGCTCTGTTGACTTTGGGATCAGAGGAGCTGCACCCTCCCCACACTCCAAGCTTTGCTTTAGTTTTAAGCATATGAGCTAAGGTGGCTTTGTATCCCCATACAGAGGCATAAAACATCTTTCATTCAATTTTAGAAGGAAATGGCACCTTGCACCAGGTCCACTTGCCTCCCACTGCTCCAGTATGGCCCAGGGCTGCTTTAGCTCATCCACATCCTCATCTTAGCCTAGTACAGAGACTGCTTGTTGCTGCTCTGCATACTCAGTTGTTTATCCCTCTCCTATGGGAAAGGAATCGGTCCTGAGTGAGAATGAAGAAAACCCAGCGGGCCAGTTGCCTTACAAGTACATGCTGGATATGCGTGTTAGTCCTCCTTGACACTGGATGATCACCAATTGTTCTAGGTAGACTTTTTACTCTCTTCCCCTAACACAGCTGAAACACTTCCCTTACTCTCCCAAGGCTGCACTTGCTAACAGAAGTCACTGGGATCAGTTCCTATTTAGCCAGAATCAACATATTCAGGCATTTCTGCAACACGCCGAGAGATGCAAACAAGTTTCAGATTGGGACTATTCTTTCAGGTCCTTGGTCACAGATGTAACAGGAGATTCATCCTGGAGAGGCCAAGTAAAGGGAGTAACTCCTTTTGCTCTTGTTTTTCAGTTTGACAAAGGAGAAGGGCTGATATCAGCTTGTTGAATAGCAGAACCAACTAAATTAATTTCACATGGAGTGTCTGGTCTCAGCAGCAGGATGCTAATCCTTTGCAGAACTAAGCCACATAAGTGCTTAGGAACAAACCAGGGAGAAGGCTTCATTCAGTGCAAAGCTGAGGCAAGAGACATACGTGATAGGAAAAACAGGGTTTTATAGGCTACTGCTGGGGAAGAGAAGGTGCCAGAGAAACTCAGCAGCTCTGTTTTCAGTCTAGGATCTTGTGAGCATGAGAGCAGAGGAAAAGAGCAGCTCAGCTTCAAGAGAACATGACAAATTCACACCAGCTCAATGGCCTGAAGACAGCTGACATTCTGACTTTACCTACAACTTTTTGCTGCTTCCTACTGCCAACAGCCTCCGGTTAAGAAACGAGCATGAAACACAAGAGAAGAGGTGCCCACAGGGTATTTTACACCTTGCGCTGCCTTAGCAACTGCTTCAAACTCCATCTTGGCCAAACAACAGAGAAGCCAAGACAATGAGTCACCTGCTCACGATCAGGCATCAGCTTCATAGACTCTAGCTCTTAAGACACCTAGTCACAGTGTCAGCAAGGGAATACAGGATGCTTTCAGCAGAGGTGTCGCTAACAAGTGCCTAAGCACCACATCTTACTGACAACAACAATGTTACTCCACTGTCAACATCATACAGAATGTCACAGGGCTAATAATGACACTCAATTACAGTAATACACTTCTCAGCTAAGACTTCCCTTTTGAACTTGCGGATGGTGTGAACTTGCGGATGGTGTGAAACAGCTTTAAGCACAGCAACAGAACCTTCATCAGAACTTTTAATTCTGCAGTGACTGCACTGGGTAGGGGTGATAAAATGCACACAGAATTATGACATACACAAGCTGCCTCGACAGACTCTTCAAGAGGAAGGCACTGCATCCGCCCTTACCTACAGCATGTCAGTGTTTTAATGTAATCTTTTAAATTGTTTAATTATAATATGTTAACATTTTTAATAGCAATGACTATCCTGAGCACTTCAATGATTTTTGTCTTCCCCACCTACTGGCATGTTATAGTTAAATATCTCCATTAAAAAAAAAATAAATAAAAAAATCAGTAGATTGCCACAATTTCAGACTCACTGGAAAATGCAGGTCTTTTGCAGCACAATGCAGGTCAGTCTTGCCACTGAGATTTGTAGAACTTGGGTATATATAAAAAAATGTTTCAAGGGAAAAATATACACAATAAGATTCACAGTGCCAAGATCTCCTTTTTGCTCTGCAAATTCTCTGGAGGCACATTTGTACTTCACCGAGCCAAGTCATTTCTTAAAATGACTGGACTAGGGTTTGAAAAACGTGCAGACTGAGTCCTAAGAAGAACTGTTTAGGTTTTATGACTATGAGCCATCTGTGAGCTAAAGGGACAGAAACCATCTGAAAACCGAAGCTGAGAGTTCCGTTTTCACAATATGCTCTGAATCACCTTTAATCTGCCTATTAAGTAGACGCCAGCTATTCTGTAACAGCCCCCTGAAAATGCCACGGGTGTGAAAAACAGCAGATGGTTAGTGGGGATGGAAAGCTATACAAATCGTTAGAGAAGCATGGAAAATTCATTGCTAGCTATAAAAGTCACTAGACAAGGGCAGCTGTGAACAGCTAGGTGAAAAGAGGGGACACGTGGTAGCTGCTCCAGATAGACTGCTGCTGTTTCCTTCTCAAAATCCTCCAGAAAACGTGCTGAAAGAATTACATGTGAACTGAGCATAAGGTGCAACGCTCCCAAGTATTAACACTAAGGTAGTTTTCCATTGTGCTGAAGTTTCCAGCTTTTAGCAGCACCTTGAATCCGAGCATGAAGTCACAGAAAGACCGTGGGGGAGACTTAAAAAAAGCAAGACCACTTGCTTTTAATATATTGCACATGCACAACTGTTAAACCCCAGCCAAGCAATTATCTTAATCTGTAACTGACATACCAACATGCTGAGGATACGCAGAGCATAAACACAACATCAACCCAGGAGGCCAAAGCAGGAAAGAAAGGAAACTCAGTATGGCCCATCTTTCACTGCACTCCTACCTTACCAAAGCCCTAACTCTCAGACTGCAAATGCAAATTGTGACACACAATCAGACGACCAAGCTATGGGAGGTTTCTTTCCCCCCGTTTATCCAACAGTTTACAGTATCTTTAAACAGGAGAGAGTTATATATTTCCAGTCAACTCCATGGGTATGAATAAACACCTTCTAAGATACTGCAGGAGTGGCAGAGCAAGGAAAACTGAGGTTTGACAAAGAGAGAGATCTGAGATATGAGTCAGGAAAGCAGATAGAACGAAAACACAAAAATCATATAGTCATCTTGATATTCAGTACTGTTGTGAAAATCCCCCTATCAGGGATTCCATCCTTCTTTATTTAGGACTGCCATCCCTGATTTAGCTTTTATAAGGGAGCCTTCTCCCTCCTCTTATAGCTTTCCATTTAGCTCTCCATTCAGCAGGCTGCAAGAAACCTTTTCACCTCCAGTTCCATAAGTACCCTGTGCCCAAGCTCCCTTACATGTATCACGTCTGCCAAAAATCAGTGTCAATGTAACAGGAAATAAAAGGGACACTGATATCTCTAAGGAGTGATATCTGCCACCAGAGGCTGGGGTTGGAGTCACCATTTCTCCCTCCCTTCCATCCACACTTCAGGCAGATGGCACTCATTTATCATACAAACACGTCTGGCCACGTCAAACGAGAACATGAACTGTAGCTGGAGAAAAGAAACCACGAATGCTTTTCCAATTTATTCTTACTGGGAGGGTAGTGGCACATCATCCAATCAAACCCAACAGGGACTTTTTATTAAGGCTCCTAGCTCACCTAGCATTTATAGTACTAAGTCTTGCAGTCATCCTGGCTTAGCTGCAATGCTTTGTTCATGCCGTGTCTGCATTCCCAATTCCAGATAGTTTTACTGGGTCAAGACCAAAAGTAATCAGCACAAACAGAAAGGGAAAGTAATCAGATGTGAAACAGAGACCATACGATGAGTAATGTGTCAGGCTGGTACTGGACAATATTTGTAAAGGCCAGTCAGAAATAGGTATTACAAACGGAGCTGGAAAATGGTAATAGGTAAAAACATGATCAAGTGCTTTTGATGGATTTCCCAGTAAAGAGAAAGTCTGTCTAGAAATAGATGTAACAGATTAAAAAAAAAAAAAACCAAACCCAAAACAAAACCCAAAATAAAAAAAAAACCAAAACAACACCCAAACAAACCAAAAATCCCAACCCAAAATAAAATGCACCTAGTGATCTTTAAATTAACTTTTCCATTGGATAAATATATTTGAAATCGTTGTACAGTTCACAGTGGCATAAAGTTCTCTGATTGCTTGAGTGCTTGAAAATATCTCATCAGTAAAAAAATACCAGAGCTGGGGGAGGAAAACCCTCTCTCTGAATTCTGTACATGGGTAAATGCACAGGTTTTGGCAGGCATCAGGTCATCGGATCCACGGGAAACCAGCAGCATTGGAGGACTGCGGATCACAAGTCAGGGGATGGAGGATAAGAAGAATAGTAAGGCCCATTTTCCTGCAACGAGAACAGAACGAGCCATTGAATAAAAGTCTTTTCCAACACACTTTGGTGCCATGGTTGATGACACAGAGAGGCAGAAAACCAGGTATCCTTGGCATTGTCTTCTACAAGGTACAGTGACTACTGTACTTCACCCAGGAGAGGGCTGTACTGGTAATGATGCAAAAATAGGCCTTGATTTTGCCTCTTTTAACCAAAAAGCACAGCTTAAAATTTTGGCATTAACCCAAAGCTAAGATGCAAGGAAGCCACAAATGCTAGCATAGCCAGTCATTTAAGATTAAAGCAGCTTATGTAGACACACAACTCTGGCTACTACTTGGTAGTTACAGCACATCCTCTTTGGAACATTTTGGCCAATATAAGCCATGTTCATTCCACCACTTAGAGACCTGAGATGGAAAAGGGAAGAGGAGGAGGAACTGACACAAAAGCAAGGCACTCTTCTACAGTTTCACTTTTCTCCACTGTTTCTCCCCTCCCTGCCTCCCCTTCCTGTATGTCTGTCAATACACCGGACAGGGAAGATGAAACACAGATAGTATTTCTTCTTGCAGTCAGCATAAAGTATATAGCAGGTATAACATATGAATTTTATCTTGTCCACAAGCCCTTAGTCTGTTATGCCACAGGTCCTGTGTCCTTTAACGCACACAGGAGACTGCTCTATTGGGAAAGGAGCCTGCTTCTTAGCCAAGGCCTCTACTCAGACTGATGTAGGAACAACAAAAAAAAATGACAACTGTTACCCACAGAAGCACAACTAGACTCTCTAGGAAACCTCCCTTTCTTAAGATGCGCAAGTCAGCCCCTTTAACATTCTTGCAGAGAGGAATGGGATAAGCACAAAAACTACACCTAGGAGCAAAGACTCAGGCTTGCCACAGGCAATCCCTTACCCTGGCATCATACTCAAGGACAAAAGGAGGGAGATCAATCTGTTCCGGAGGTATGGCTGTGAATAACTGCTGAAGGCTTTCCACATAGTGGAGTTTGTCCTTTAGCCCTGAGACCGTAAAGGTAGTGAAAAACCATGCCGAGACCTGCAAATAAACCCCAACAAAACCAAATTAATAGGATGTTACTTCAAAACCTTCAAATTCAACAGAATACTCCATAGTTAAACAGGCTTGAGTTAAGCCTGAACCATTAATACCATGGCAATAATACAACAAGGTTGGGGAGTACAAAAGCTCTCAAGCCAGTGTTTTTTGACTCCATACTCACTCCTCCCCAGCTGGCAGTTTAAGGTCCCTTTTTACTGTACAAGAGCAATAGCTCTTCTGCTCTTTGTCTTCAAGAAACCATAAGTATGGCGACATGTTTTCATTTCCAGTTTAGACAGCTTATAATAAAACTTATTTGACTCTATATCTGACAGAAGCATTTTCAATCCTCTGCCTTCAAATTTTCACTGAAAAGGCAATTCGAGGGCGAGAAGGAAAAAGACTTTCAGCTCCTTAAAGGTCCTGTTAAAATCTCTTCTCTGCTTTGGGTTGGTTGAGTATGCCCTTCTCTTTTATCACACTTCTTATCAAAGCCTTATCCATTTATTCTATGAGAATAAGCCTAATCAAAATTTTTCCACAAGATTTTACTTTAAGTAAAGTACTTCTGTCTCTTAGATGTAAACAGGTTAAGGAATTTTTGTTTTGCAAAGACCAGTAAGACAACATTAATACTTCTACATGTTATTAAATATTCTGTTTTAGATTGACTGCAGGAGCTTTTACTTTTCAACCCGCTGTCTCCAAGATTAAGCACATTACTTTTTGTTTATTTATTACATAGTATTTTCCTGGCAGACTGAAGGGAAAAAAAAACAACAAAACCCCGGAACTGTTCTACAGTTCTCAAACACCTCTATTAGGGACCACTCACACGGTCCTGGGTAACTAGGTCTTGCTGACTCTACTCAAGCAGGGAGGCTCGACCAGACGACCTCTAGAGTCCTTCTAACCTCAGCCATTCTGCAGAGCTGTATTGTGACTGCAGTAAGCTAACAGAAAAGAAGCAACACCACAAGCAAAGCCTTGAGGAAAGCAGGAGTTTCAAAGAAACTAAAGCATCAAGTCAATAAACATGATCTGCCTCAATACAATACAACATTTAAAGTAAAACTCGATGCTTAAAAACTGTGCTGCAACAATTATGCTGCCTCCTCAAAACAGCCTATTTTCACGAGAAAGAAAGAACAAAAAAAAGAGAAAAGGAGGTAAAGAACAGGGCAGAACATTTAAGATAAGTTCACTATTTTAAGGGCAAAATTAGAGATTATGCTATCAGGAAGCAGGGAGATGGATTACTAATAGCATCCGTTATTTGATATATATTTTTAACAAGATCTCTGATGAGATATTTGAGGCTTCTGAGACAGCAGTCTTCCATGGGGACAACAGCTTTGAAACAGCAGCCGCCTTCACCACCACCACTTTCTGCCACATATTCCCCACAACGTTTCACAAGCTGATAGTCTCTGCAACAGCCAGTGGCAATCTCACTTGCCTTTCAGTTAGAGAAAAGGCTTGGCAGAAAGATATGGACACACATTCTCTTTTGCTTCTCTAGCTGTGTTGCTAGAATAGGATACCAACCAATTCCATACTCAGTAAGTTAAAGAACCCTGTGTGTCTCACCCTCTCTGCTTCCCATCAACTGTCTCCTTGCCCCACAGATCCATCCTGTCCCACTGCAGCTCCCAAAGGAACAGAGAACACAGCAATGGACCAGCGAATGTGAATTCTCATCTTCCAATAAAAACCCCATTTCTCAATGGAACAGAAACGTATGGGAAGAGGGGGATAAAGTGCTAAGAATCTAAATCATTAGTACTTCCTAGCTTCAACTTTTCCACTCAGATTTGCGACCTTAGTGTTCTATGCCAGCTCCTACATTTTAAGGAACATCAGAGCTGGAAGCTTTAATTCCAGCACTCAGGCCTCAGATCTGTACCCTGTGGGAATAATTAATATCCTGGCAGAAACTGGAAGCTATGCTGTTGTGAAGCCTCAGTCTCACCTACGTCAAAACAAGGAAGCTCTAGACCCACAGTGTCCCAGCTGTGCACAGGCAAAGAAAGGACTCTGAAAACTGAGCAGTGAAAAAAATTCTTACAGAACATGTCCAAACAGATGTATATTCTAGGTGTATATCTTTTTCAAATGTGACCAATGTCAGCAAAAAGTAGAATAAACACAGAGGCTAAACTGATGTGGAGGATCACATTTCTGTTTTAACAGGACAGGCAAAGATTTTGGGAAGGGCTTCTGCTGCCACTTAGTTCATCTGAAGTATGAACACTGCTGCAGTACAAGTAGTGTGTATGAAGTACAGAAGGGAGTGAGCTCCATCTTCTGTTGCCCCACATAGTTCATAGCCAAGGCTAAAAGCTTATTGCTTGAGGTAGTTTTTCCATCTCCTGAAGGTTTAACAGGATTTTCTCTGCACTTTGTCACAAAGGAATTCTTCCCATCTTTCTTTGCTACTCTACTCTCTATAATCCCAACTAATCTCATTGCTCCTTGACACACTGCCCTCTGCCCCTACTGGGGCAGCTCTTAAGTGATACACAGCACACATACAATACCCCTTGTCGGGGGGGAAAAAAAAAAAAAAGGTGAAACATCCAGGAAACCAATTACACAAAAAAAGAATTCCCAGAGTTTTTGGTCATGGTTCATTGCCCTGCCAACCTGGCAGCAGGAAAAAAGTCAAAATGTTTCTCTTTGAAAGAAACAAGATCCAAAGCTTCCACTCCCCTGCTAACAGCACACGCAGTACAGGGCAGAGAGCTGCAACACCAGTTTATCACTAAGGTTAGAAGACTACAGCTAGATCAAAGATGGGGAATTAATTTCAAGTTCTCACCATGGATCCAGAAGAAACTGCCTAATTTTAAAGGTCTTCCACATACCTCTACATTCCTCATACTAGTCTTACATGCTACTCTGCCAACACCTAAAAATACACTTTTATTTACCTCACCTTTGAACGAAATGTTGGATGGACAAAATATAGTGCCTTCAAGTTCCTTTTGTACCTAGGTTAGAGAAAGAAAAAATTCTTTACAAGGACTTCTAATTAAGCTCACCTACACAACTGTCAAAACTTAGATTATTTTGCTTATATGCCCATGATGTAATTTTACAAAGTCAGATCTAATATAAGGGCAGATACCAGAAAAGTAAATGTAAACAGAAAAAATACAAAAAGCAAATAAAAAACAAACCACCAAACACAGAATGGTTATTTTTCAGATAAAGACATCAAGCCTGAAGTCTTTTGTGTGGACAGGGAAAGTTATGGACAAAGTATGACTGCCAATGTTACTCAAACCTTTTCCCTTACAACTAGCAACACACTTTAAAAAACCATCAGGCTCCAGAAGCTCCACCTCTGGACAGAGACAGGTGATACATCCAGTATGCCTCTAACAGCTCCAGAAGGGAGACTGCAGAAGACAGAAATTCCTGGTTTAATAGATGGTTTTGAGAAGGAAAGAAAAGATATCTTCCTTCCTCTTGCCTTTCATTAAGTCGTTGTTCCAGCTAACTCTCTCACAAATAAAATGGGAAATTACAAATATTTGCACAGCACAGAGGAAGACCAGAAGGGTTCTTTTCCTGTTTACACTCACTTAGCATCAACAACATCATAGAGCTTCTTCAGGAAATTGGAATCTAGTTGATTGTAATCATTTGTGAGTGTATGGAAATACACCAGGACATATTCTTTCACTGCAATATGATCCATGACGTGGATGAAATACAGAAGAGCCTGAGACAGAAAGAAATGAAATTTGTATTTGCAAAGAACTCTTTCACACTTGCATTGCATCTTCACATGCTTCTTTTAATTCATTCACAATTCAGCAATCATGAGGCTGGGTGGCATCATGTTTCAGCTACAAAAGGTGACTATTCCAAGTCTACAACTTGGCTGTAATAACTTAAAACATCTTTTTTATCTAGCTGACCTCAGATGTCATTTACCGAACGAGTGGTGAGGCACTGGAACAGGCTGCCCAGGGAGGTGGTGGAGTCACCAACCCTGGAGCTGTTTAAAAAAAGAAGTAGATTTAGCACTTGAGGCTATGGTGTAGTGGTTAGGTATGCTGGGATGAAGGTTGGACTAGATGATCTTCAGAGGTCCCTTCCAACCCCGAACATTCTGTGATTCTGTCATAAATTTGTCCTGCTTCCATAAAAAAATGTGACTCATTACATTTCCCTCTCCATGTCTCAACAGTTACAGAAGCAGGGCAAGTCTCTTCTTGAGAAGGAGTCCCTGTTAGGCTCGTTTTTCTAAAAATAGTCCAGTTCCTCCTTGGAAAAAGCCATCCCAACACACACAAATCTTTATAAGGTAATACATTTTATTTACCTATAAAAATAGTTTCTATTCAATCTCTTAAGTCTTGTATAGATAATGTTTCTAGTATTAATACTGAATTACTCTTATAAATCAGACTCTTACAACCTGAACATTCATACTCAACATACACAACTCTAGTTTTACAAAGCCTTACCTTTTCCATGTCTATTAATGTTACGGGGATATTCCTTCCAACCACCACCATCACTGTGCGTCCACAGTTATCTACACCTACAAAAGAAAGAAAAATGTGTCTAAATTCCTTTCAGTCATGCCAGGTTTTAAGAGTTGGTCCCTTTCAAAACAAGGAGAACCCACAGCTCGAAGTTCTGCAAAGCATTTGGTTTCCATTTAACAACAAAGCAAATATGCTTAGTTACTGTTCTCACAGTATCAGTAGCTATTCTCACCCAGACAAGGGTGCATCACATTCAAGAAACTTAAGACTTAAGGACTGCAATTTCATACTGCTTCTGTACTCCACATTTAACTCAATCTCAAGTAATAACACACCTCATTTGCAGTTCCACCACCAAAGCAAGGTTCTTCCTAGAAACCAAGCTCAGAAAACGAATGCACAGATTGCCAGAGCATGCCTTGCAGACCTTCAGCAGCCCACAGAGCCTTATCAAAGTCAAACAAATGAAAAACAAAACTGCAGCTACAGAGTAGAAGGTATCACACAGCCTTGGAATTTGCACAAAGACCAGGGTAAGTATCTGGATTTTCAGGTGGCCAAAGATAGCAGCTGAAGTGCTGAACAGACTTTTTCCTGCAGAAACACAGCCATGCTTTCGAGAGCCTGATTACTTGCCTGTTCCTTCTTCGGTCATGGTGCAAAGCAGCAATAAGCTGCTGGGACTATGGTAGGTTTTTATGTCCAAGTAGGATGACACTTAAAGGGTAAAAGTGTACAGGCTCCCCATCTCTGCTTCCCAAGCTGCAAAATGATCTTGCAGCTATTTTCTTCCACTGAACTCTCTGCTGGGTTGTTGAATCTCTCCCTAATCTCCCCATCGAACTCAAGGTTCCAAGATGTGCTGCCCATGGTACTCCACCATTAGTACCAGGAGACACACAGAGAGGACAGCAACACATACCTAACCTGAGGGAAAAAAAGCAAGTAATTTTGTTCAGGAAAGCTGTACTGAAAGTTGCTTTTGCAACTGCTTATTCTCTAATCACCTGAAAGCAGCACTCGTTTCTTCATAACAACAAGTTGGAGATAGTTCTTTTGGTCTGAATTATCTCATACAGAGCACCTTACACATTAGCTTAATCTAAAAATATTGATTTATACCTAAAGCCTCAGAAAATTCAGAATATGTATGTATCCTCAGATTGTTAGAATAGAGCAGTTTGCGAGTTTACCATAGAGTCTTTCAAAGCTGACTAAGAAAGAATTCCTGCTTTACTGCAGAGATGTTGCCTACGTTTTGGCCAGGCTTCTAGCTTAATAATATGCCTTATTGTATACTCAAGCCCAAAGGAACATGTTCTATTTTTATTTTATATTTTTACTTTAAGAAAATGTACATCAGATCTTGGTAGTCTGAACTTACCTGTTTGGTACAAGGCTTTAAGAGAAGCAATATCAGAGAGGTCTTCAGCTCTTGCCTGACACAGCCACCGATTATAACTAGAAAGTTAAAAACATCTGGTCAGATCTAATCCCCCTTTGGACTAGCATTAGAAGCCTAAAGAGGTATATGGGAAAGGAAGGACAAAACAAGCTCTTTCCGACTAAGCCTTCTCTCTAAAGTTGTGGTTTTCTGACTTACGGAGCAACTATTAAGTTGTTAAAGGAAGAAGTACTTGGGGGAAAAGAAGTGTCTCGGTGATTTTCACGGAGGCAATGAACACGCACCAGCTAGTAACTATAGTGACAGTGTATTTGGGCTGAGAAAATACCTTTTTCAATACCTCGGTGTTTTTTAAACAGGGATAAAAATAAAAATTTCTTTATGCTGCAACCAGTGTCACACAGAGATTTCTCTTCCCCTGCTTTTGAATGAAAACTTATTCCAAACGGAACAAGTTAGTGTCTCATCTGTCAAAACAAGCCAAGCATCGTGCCTCAAGAGGACTCCAGCATGACTTCTAAGAAAGTGATGATGCACATTAGGGTTAGTGGGTAGGGCACGGGGAGGAGGGGAAGGGAAAAGCCCCAGCATTCATTTCTGCTAAGTGTCCAGAGCCTCAGGAACAAGCAAGCATTACTGAAAGCAAGTGACCCCACTATAAAAATGTGGTGACATAACAGTGACATCTTGTGGCAAAGAGATAAGGCAGCTGGTTGGATACACTGGGTATGTGACTGGGTTCATCATCAGCTTCTCTTTTCCTTCTACTGCCCCTTCCCTTCTCCCTTCAGGCCAAAGAGGCTGCCACAGCGATCCAGGGTGACACCAGGCTTTATCTGTATTCCCTTGCCAGAAGATGAGGCTTTACGGATAAGAAAATCATTATAAGGGTTGATCCTCTGAACAGCTGCCGCAAAACATTCATACGGACAAGGAAATTCTCACTTCCTCTGATGCTGTTTTTGCAGTGCTGCCTCTGACAACTGGCCCTGAAGGATGAGGCGTCTCTGTTTATCAACATCTCCCTCCATGCGGGCAAAAGCATGGGAACCAATGAAAGACAAATCTGCCTCCAGACCCTCTTCATCTGAAGCATCTGCAGTAGAAACAAAGGCAGTGTAAAATGCTCAAGCTGCACACAAGACAGCAATGCTGCTGCTCAATTCCTACATATCTTGACAAGCCAACCCAGTCGTCAGGCTATAAACTCACACAAGAAACCCCACAGTGTACCATGATGTCGCTCTGGTGTCTCACCAGTACCACTGACAGATTGTATCACGCGATTGATAACTATGCACTCCCTTAAAACGTTGGTTTGCCTGGAAATCAGCTGGGCAAATCCTAGTCATTAGCTTGTAACAAAGGGACAATGAACGGTTAACTCTCTCAAAACACAAGGTCTGGAGAGATCACATGGCCTTGGGCTTTGCAGTTATCTTACTTGTCACAGGGGGCAGAAGGCCAGATGCTGCAGCTTTATTCATCTCAGAAGCTGTACTGTAGAAAGGGCTCACTTTTTATATCACTGACACTGCTTGGACAGATGCTGGAGAGCTGGCAGTAAACTAGCTTTAGATATTTTTGTGGTATTCTTTACAACATAACTGTGTGATTCAAGGGCACAGGCTCACTTGCTGGTGACAGTACCAAAACACTCCGCTGAACTTCGGTCATCAAGGAACACTGCTAAACACTTCTAGCACTATCTCTCCAGGAAATACGGATAGGAACCGGGTTTCCCAGTTTTAGTGTGACACGCTATGGCAGCAGCAGGACAAAATTGCAGGATTCTGCTACACCCATTCGCTCCTATGTATGTAAACCCAGTAATTTCACAGATGATTAGCCAGTGGTTGAATGTTTCATACTGATCAGCCACAGCTGCAAATACTAATCTAATCTGCAGTTTTGACAGGGGAGAAAAAAAAATTGGAGTCTGATCAGCAGGAGTAGGTACACAGGTATCAAACAGTGAACACAAAAATTAAGTTGTCTATATCCTCACTGCATATTCAACCTCATTCCAGCTGGCCATGTGAAAGCAGAAAACCTTTGAAACCTATTCCAAGTTGCCTGCTTTTGATGGTTTAAGGCGTGGCCTGAACACCTGCGTGCCCAGGTGGCCAAGAAGGCCAACAGCACCCTGGCCTGTATCGGGAATAGCGTGGCCAGTAGGACCAGGGAAGTGATTTTACCCCTGTACTCAGCAGTGGTGAGGCTGCATCTCACATCCTGTGTTCAGCTTTGGGCCTTCACTACAAGAAGGGCATTGAGGCACTAGAGCATGTCCAGAGAAGAGCAATGAAGCTGGTGAATAGTCTATAAAGCACAAGTCTTATAAGGAGCAGCTGAGGGAACCAGGGTTATTTAGTCTGGAGAAAAGGAGGCCAAGGGGAGGCCTTATCACTCCCTACAACTACCTGAAAGGAGGTTGTAGAGAGGTGGGGATTGGTCTGTTCAAACAAGTAGCAAGTGACAGGACAAGAGTAAATGGCCTTAGGTTGCGCCAAGGGAGTTCAGACTCAATATATTAGAACTTCTTTACTAAAAAGGTTATCAGGTATTGGAATGGGTTGCCCAGGTCAGTGGTAGAGTCCTGTCCCTGGAGGTATTTAGGAGTCAGGCAGACATAGTGCTTAGGAATATGGTTTAGTTGAGGGTTTGTCCATGTTAGGTTAAAGGTTGGACTCAATCTTAAAGGTCTTTTCTAATCTAGGTGATACTGCGATCTGTAGAACCTTCAGAGTACTGCTCAATAAATAAGGCAGAATGCATCATCTACATCCATTTATTAAATTGTTTGGATTATTAAATTGTTAGATGTATCTCACCTCTTCAACCCTGATGTCTAGGCAACCTCCCTACAGACAGACTTCTTTCAGTGAGCTTTGACAGCCAATTCCCAAATACTAGTCTCTGAGTTGATCTAGTTCTTCTATGTTTTAGGTAGTTTCTGCTAGGTTTTTTTGAGCATCTACTAGCTCAGTGCATGTGCTGTATCAACAGACTCTTATCATTTGAGGTAACATTTGCTAATGTAAAAACAACGCTCTGCTAACACCACAGAACGGTTTGGGTTGTCAGCAACCTTAAAGATCATTTAGTTCCAACCCCCCTGACATGGGCAGGGACATCTCTCTCCCACTAGACCACATTGCTCAAAGCCCCATCTAACCTGGCCTTGAACACTTCCAGGGAGGAGGCATCCACAAGTTCCATGGGCAACTTGTCCCAGTGCCTCACCACCTTCACATTAAAGAATTTCTTCCCAATAGCTAATCTAAATCTACTTTCTTTCAGTTGGAAACCATTACCCCTTTTTGTATCGCTACACCACCTGAGAGAGTCCCCAATACATATAAGATAGATCATTAACAATAATGCCTTTTCAAGTCAAGGGTTGCATGAGATTCTCAGATTCTGCAAGGTCCTAATCACTTTGGGAGAAAACTTGCAAAGAGAATGAACTACTCCACATCTCTCTGTAAGAAAGAAAAAGACAGCACAGCAGCTCTACTGCATCCTCCAACCACATCATTCTCACACAGAGGCAGAAAGCACAAGTTACTGCTGCAGAACACAGGAAGCCAAGAAGGCAGCTTGACAACTGTATTCATTAGAGCCTGTCTTTGCTGAGGTAGGAAAACTCTCTCCCCTTCCCACATGTCTTTTCCATTTTTCCAGGCTTTCGCATACAGATACTTATTCCGAAGTTCATTTAGGAACTCACCATCTGGAACACCCGGCTTTTCAGTGATTCTGATCTGCCGCTCCGGTACTACAGGCTCCCCTTCCGCATTGCCAATATCTGCGGGGAGGTAAGGCAAGGATTGTATCTCTTCTTCCAACGATCTTGGAAAATACAGAGGCAGCAACTTCTGGTATGTGGCCTACAAATAAGAAAAATGCGTGAAGGGTCTATCACGCATCCTCGCTCTTCATTTAAGTATCATCTGCTTATGCAGCAGGGACCTTCTCAGCAGTTTGGAGGCAAAGCACCACTTTCCCCTGTGGCTTATTTTGGGCCATTACCTGGCAATAAAAGCAGACAATCTTGATAAGGGTTAACTTTTTTTTTGCCCCAATGGCAAATCACCTCAAAAGGACTCTGCTTTAACTGGAACTCAAGTAGACTGCAGATACTTTAGCTTTGTAATGAAGTTACAACATACACAGATGATGGACTTCATAGAAGGCTTATGTTAAAATGCACCACTATGCAGATCACCTTTAGCGATCTGACTGGGGAAAAAAAATGAGTCGCAGTTTTAGAATCCCCAGCAGGTTATTTTCCTCATTCAGATGCCACAGAATATTAACACCGTGTGGGTGTTCTGGCCAGAAACCATCATTAGCAAATCCGATATACAACAGAAGTCAATATTCAAACTGCTAGCATCTTTCTGAACATGGATCATTTAAATGCCAAGCTTGTTATCTCAACAAGCTGCCAAGCACCATTTAAGATGTTTGTAGGTGGGCATGCTAAATTGGTCCTCTGAAAGCACAAGGGAAACCGCGTTGTGCAAAGAGGAGGTCATTTCCCTCCTAGTCCAGCACAACTGCATGCTATAATCTCTAATATTGGCTCCTGTTCATGGCTCAGGAACATGGAAACCAGAAGTGGACAGATTCTGAACATGTCCACAATGACCACTAAGTGTGTAAACAGAACTGGAAAGGATGCTATGCTAGTGGGAGACAGAACGATGCTGTCCAAAAAGCCTATGAATCAACTCCTGCACTGCAGAGATAAATACTGATGCAGAGAAGATCAAACATGCCCATGAATTTTGGTGGGGTGAACATCAAGGAGATACCTCTTCAAGCTCAGAGACTGCAAACACCACCTTCTCTAAAGTCTCTCCATGAATCTCCAGGAACCTTCTAACTGTACCTGTAAGGAAGAAAATGAAATGTAGTTAGCAAAAGAGGAGGAGAAATTTACATGCACAACTACAAGTGAGGAAGTCAGAGTGCAGAACAGAGGGACACATCTCTCCCTTCATACAAAATAGCTCCACAGGCTGTATGCAAGAGTGGATTAAGTGGTAGTTTAAAACACCAAATGGATTGTTGGCCATATTGAAAGTTCCATCTCCACTCTCTGCTGCTGTTCACTTTAGAGATAGATACAAAAAGAGAAAAAGCCTCTCTCATTTTAGCTAACTAGGTATTCCTCAGTCTGTGGAATGTGATTCTAGGGCCCCACAAAATTAAGCCAAATCCTTCCTTTACAGAGTCCTGTGCAAACTGGTAAAACCAGATATTTCTAGAACAAGATGTCATGCCCCAATTCATCAGGAAGGCAAGATAAGCAAACTACAGTAGAAGCACAAGACTGAGTCAGCTGCTCAAAACCTCTGGGGTCAGTTATGCCGAAGAGGCATATAAAAATTGTACTTGTAAATCATGAGAAAATTTACTTCCTCTATTACTTTTTTGGGGGGGACTCCCCCAAAACTTCAGCATAATCCAGGGACAGAGTCATGTTCTTAAGCATTTGCACCTGAGGAAAAAGAAAAAGTTTTGTAACCAAGCTCCTAGTTAGACTTATCCTTCTACAGATAAGGTCCTTGAGCTGCAATAATCTTGACACGCATCAGGATTTTCAAATGCTTTCCTGTCAGACTGCCAAGAGAGAAAGTGTCCAAACAAATAGGTTGGTCTACCAGTATTTTATCAAGTAGCATACAGCCCTACAGAGAAAATAGGAGAGCAATAAAGGAAAGAAGTCTACTCTGCAGAGAACACGTTAGCACAAGTTCTTCAAGAAAACAGCAGAGGAAATTAAAAGAGCTACTTTCATACTTTCAAATACTTCCTGTATACATATTTATGTGTAATTGGGTTGACCCACAACACTACTTTATGGGACAAATGCAATTGTGCAGTTCCATAGCAAACAGCTTCCTGAACCTACAGGAGCAGCTGTTCTCATACATCTCACTCAACAGGCAGGTAACAGAAAAAAACAGACTAATCTGTTTCTCCAGTGTCAGCAACTCTGCTAAAGAGCAGGTAAGAGATTTCTCCAGTCAGCTTGCACAGCAAGAAGAAAATCCCTCCTGCCATCTGAAACAACTGTCATGCAGCAGTACCACGCAGGAAGGTCCAGGGACCGAGTAGCGGTGAAAAGCAGACAGGAATAGGCCAATAGAAAAAGTCAAAAGTAAGAGTAAGAACCAGGCAAGTATTTGACAGTCTTCTCTGAGCACTTTTCTATTCTTCAAGTATTTTCAGCCTAGGAATTTGATTTGCTTTTTGTAGCCTTTATTATTTTAATACAGTTTGTCAAACCCAAAAAAGCTTGAAAACTTCTAGTACCTACAATGCTTTTGAAGAAGTTCCATAAACTAGTGTAAGCATAAGAACCTTTTCTCCTTGTTTACTCTGAACCAGATTCATAGTAGCATTGTTTGAAGGTTCTTATTTCGAAAGATAGTGAACAGCTGATTCCTATTCGCCATTTACATGCCACTTGGAGGACTTATAGACATCTATCCTACTCCCTTCAAATTCAGCATATTTCAGTCTGAAAAAAGACTTCAGCATACTTGGGTATTTCTTGCCCTTCCTTATGCTTGTTGACATCTAGTTTACTATATTCCTTCTGAATGTGCAGTTTTAAACGGGAGATCAAAAACAGATTTATAGCCTAACAGTCTTAAATGTGTTGTGTCTTCTCAGCTTGCTGTTTTGAACTCCAGTGAGCTGTTGTTTTAAGGGAACTATTATAACCTCAAGATATTGCTCCCTAGAATTAGCCCATCATTTTGCATGAGAAGGCAGAAGCATACGGAAGTGGGTCACTGGGGGTACAATATCACTTTACATTTAGATATGCTGATGACACTAAAGTGGCAGATGAAATTCACTACAGCTATTCAACAGTAAAGCCTCATCTTTGCTTCTTTACCAGCAAGCTCTCACCTCACCGTTCAGCATCTTTTCCAAGTTATTAATTAATACATTGAAGACTGCAAGTTCCAGCACAGATTCCCAGGGATCTTTACTGATGACCTCTCAACAGACAGAGGATCATTTGTTTTTATCCTTCATTTCCTGATCAGCCACAGAAGGTGGCCTCTAACAAGCTACAGGCCCCTAAAAAAAAAGGTTTCCCTGTATCAACAGCAGTCTGTCAGAGGCAAGCAATCCAGTTTACATTACTTTCCAACAAACTTACGTAGTGCTATGTGGGTTGCATCCTCCAAGGGGTAGCATCTTTTCAGAGAGTTAATGACACAAAATCCTACGGAGCACATTGCCTGTTCCCTGAAACCCAGAAAAAGAGCAACAAATGAGCAGACAGTCAGATGAGAACAAACGACTGTCAGTACAGCAGATCACACCAGTACTTTTTTTCCTGCCTCTATGCAGCAGCAACCCTCTCATAGGCTTTTGCAGAAAGATTCTTTCCTGGCAAGATGCAGACATACCACTACGAAGCAGAGGAGGAGGCAACCATTAATGATTCCACACTGTTCCTTCTCAGATTTCTCCTTCTACCTCATCTACATTGTTCCTGCAGTTTCTCATATTCTGAATGAAGATACTCTTCCCTCAAACTCCCAGCAATCCTTTCCAAAATACTTTCCTTCCTGTATAGGATTGACAGTGAGTAGAAGGAGGGGAAAAGAAGGTGCACTCTTCATTGTAAATATTCTCTTGATCCTCCACCTGACTTGTTTTGTTAGAGGTCTCAACACATACCGAGGTGGTTTATTCAGTCTTAGGTATGATTAAGCAATCATTGGCATGGAGTGATACACATTTTAAGATGAGGAACATTCTTCCAGCAGAGAGCCACATTTTTAGGAAACTAAAACATAGGTGTTGCCAACAGTCATCAGAGGAGTTTGTCTATGAACTCTAAGCTTGCTCAATCTCACAAGCACCAAAGGCTACTCTAGAGAATAGATTGACTGAAAGGCATTCAGAATTCAGTAAGAGAATTATTAGATTTTTTTATTTATTTTTAACATGTTTCAATGCACACCTGACTTCGCTTGTTACTTCTGTGACAGAACAAAACTGGCACATACCAGAAACCTTAGCTGTAATTTTGATTATAAAACACTTATTCCAGTCCTGGAAGAATTGATTTTCCCACCTCTAAGAAATTACGAAAACGTGTTAGCTAAGAGGAAGTAGAAATTACCACAGATGAAAGCGGAAAAACTACAAATCCATCTGCAGCAACCGTGGATTTAGAAACAGTCTGGCACCTTGACTCAGAATTTTAGATGGCTGTTATATGAGGGCAGAGAAGTCAGAGCTGCCTGTGGGTATGTCCACGTAGCTGCAGAGACACATGAAGTCGCTGCTTGAGCAAGCTCATTTTCACACGCACAGAACCCAATGCAATTACCAAAGCTGCTTCTCCTCAGAGTAACTGAATGCTGCACAGCTCTGGCTATGCTGTTTCAGGACTTGAGCTCAATTCTCTCTGCACATTTTATCTACACCACAACACGTGTAGTAAGAGCCATGAAGTATATCACGAAGCCACTACTGTTCTCATGTCCTGAACTAAATCCAGCACACCTGAGAACACATTCACAGCCGTTTGGCCTCTGTGTAAACCCGAATATCTAGAACAGATGTGCCATGGATGGCAAACCCTCGTGTAAGTTCTTGCATGCTTACTTTGCGAGCTGCAGGACGTTGCGGTAACAGCTGTATAGAGAACTCTCGGCTGCTGTGCGATACCGGCTTTTGTATTTGGGTCCCACTGTGTGAATGATGAAACGTGCAGCCAAATTAAACCCTTTGGTGAGTTTGGCCTCGCCTGTCCTGCACCCTGGAAAAACAAACAAACACAAGGATAAATGCCACTGTCATGACAGGAAACCTAGAAGTAATCAAGCCCTTTACTTCTTCCAGAATCAAAAAACTTTTATATAAAAGTCAGTCTAAAAAGATGTATAAAAAGACATCAAATATTATGGATAGCACTCTATCTCGTAACAGCTCCTTAGCATCACCTAGTCAGGTTAAGGAGGTGAGAGCTGTGTTCATTCCTCTCAGTTCTAAAACTATGCATGTAAGGACAAACAGGAAATCACTAGAAACGCTGTCTTAATTGTAGTGCTTGCTAAGCTGCATATAGAGCCAAAGGGAGAAATGATTTAATGTTGTGCAGAGAACTGATTTACAAATATACTATACAATCAGCAATAAAAAGTCGTTCTGAATTTAACAACATGGTCTGGGGAGACTGCTTTTTGGTAAAGGGACTACAAGTCTCCTTATCAAACCTACCGGTTGCTGACAAAGCAACTGAAAATTAATAGATCAAGGACCTGGTTCATCTACACTCTCAGAACAAGGTAGCTTGCTTTGTTTTGCAAGGTTCTTCATGCCCACAAGGTAGGAGTATGAATCTTATGGAAATCACACTTTCTTGAAAGACTAAGTGTGTAGACTCAAAGGATGCAACACATTTATTTGTTCCATTCACCGCACCCTCCAGTTACATCCTCTATGATTGCTTATTACATGCTAGCATGCTTTACATCTTTACCTCTTTTTGGTTTTGACTGCTCTTTGGCTATCCCCTGCAAGTTCCTCATACTTAATTCCTTATTTTTTTTTCCCAAGATAAATCAGTTTGTTATAAACCCTCTATAAACCTCTCTATTCCCTTCAGTTTGTCTATACACTTCTCATAATAAAAGCCCAGGAACAGCTATTGTGTTTGAAGTCTTGTTTCCTCCTTGGCACCGGGAAGAAAAGTCTGCTAACTCCCCAGTTCTTCACCCAAATCTAATCTGCTCCAGTTCTGGACAGCTGAAGAAGTAATTCTAGTCTTCCTATTTCCCTACCCTAAAAGGCAAGCGTTTTCCACCTTCGTTTTGCTTGTACAAGCACTCCACTCCATTCCATTCCTTGTGGTGCTCTGGCAGGCAATTAGCATACATCACAGTGTATTTTACAGCAAGAGACATTCCAGGTTGAGACTCTCTCTTACTCAAAACTTTCAGCATGTCTTTTTTAATGGCTACATCATGTTGCCTTCGAGCCAACACATTTAATTGCATCTTTAGCTTCTATAGACCCCCCTCCACATTCTTTATTCTGGGTTAGTCAGAAGCAATATAACAGCATATTGAAATTAAGAACACTTCTGCACATCCTCTAAGGCATCTCAGCTCAAGAGAGCAACTAAATAAGTACAATATGAAAAAAGCAGAAGCTAAAACCAAAATAACCTATCAGATAGCAAGCTACTATTCCTCTTCCGTGGTCTATCAGGATCACACAACTAAGAGAGCAAGCAAATGCCTCTAAGAAAAACAGTACTGTGAGAAAGAATGAAGCAAGTTTGAGGTATAGTTGTGAATTCAGTAGGGAAAATAGTGAATTCAGACAACTGGAAGTAGCATCAGCAAACTCTTAAATACACTTATATCACACGTAGTACTTCAATGCCTTCTGCCTGGCTAGCTATACAAAATTTTACAACTAAAATAAGCAGCGTGTACCATCCTACTTTAAGAAACAGGGTGTGGCAAGCTAGTAGAGTGACCTGCACAGGCCAAGGTTTGTGGCAAAACCAGAAACAAATTCAAGGTTTTATCTTTTTTTTACCTGATGAGGTATCAAACATCAGAACAGCATCTCTTCGAGTTTAAAATGGAAACTCTGAATCCTCCATACAAACTGTGCAGTGGAAAGAAAGTCTCACTGGAGTTGGAAGACTACTACGCATTGCTGTTACAGAGGGTCTTTACAGACTGCAACAAGTATGTGTTGATGGGCAGGCATATATCAATAGCACCTCATTTGCAAGCCTGGAGCCTCGGCTGTAGTATTTGTGTGTCAATCAAAGCTACATGCTGCTCCTGGGAATGCACAAGTTAACAGAGCCTTAAAGAAAGCACGAGCCATTGAAAGGTCAGCATGTCACATGCTTTAAGATCATTATTTTTCACCAAGCAGTAGTAGGAATAAAGCAGAAGAGAACTAACTGAAAGTCACCATTGCACTCATTTTACTGCTTTAGAGCAGAAGAACATAACATTTTCACTTCTTCTCAAGAACATTCTCCTATGAAAAGGGTTCAAAGTTAAATGAGAAAGAGCATTAAACCAAGGCAGAGGTGACAAAAGAATCGGAAACTATTTTCTTAACTAAGCTCCCTTCTACTCCTGCTACGGTGACACACACAACTACAGTGCACAAAAGCCAAAGCTGTAATCCAGCCTCTCTTTCCTCCCCACGCAGCATGCCAGTAGACTGTCACAGAATCACCAATTTCCTAAAAGCTCTTGTCATAAGACGAACAGGAAATTGTCACACATAGGTGGCCGGTTAGCTCAGTCGGTTAGAGCGTGGTGCCGATAACACCAAGGTCGCAGGTTCAATCCCCGTTCGGTCCCCATGTGTTGCCCGATCTAGTTGAGAGGCGTCCCTGCCCATGACAGGGAGGTTGGATTAAATGATCTCTAAGGTCTCTTCCAGCCTAGGTCATTCTGTGATTCTATACAGAGTTGTGAACCTGCAGGATGCATTACGGATGCATTACAGAGGGAAGACATTAGTGTCCTCCCAGGGGTGGAAGATGCAAAACTACACGTAACTCAAGTGTGGTAAAGCGAAACTCAAAAAGCTAAGCGTGACTTTTACAAGTAAGTCACCACAGAGCTGACAGACCTCAAATTTTCAGGACTCCTTAAAATGTTGTCACTCTCTTCCCACTTCACAGTGCACACAAAAAATCAACTTTATTTTAAAAGAGTTCTGGCATATGTACCAGGGCCCTAATTACACTATAACATCTGCTGCATTTCAACAGCTGTTTCCACCTGCAGGATACACTGACTTCTCCTGTGGAATGGTTACTCTTCCTCATGTTCTACTTCCAGGTTATTCACAAAAACCAAGTTAAATAAGCAAAATATAATTTTATAAAAACAGAGGATAAGTATTCAATTGTTGCCACCAAGAGTTTGTATTAGAAATATTATGGCTCTTCTATCTGTTTTGTTACTAAATGATAAAAAGATAGAGCTGTTAACAGAGAGTGAGCAGTACTACTCAGGGATCAGCTGGGTCTCAAAATTTAGCTCTGTATCACATATACCTGAAATGTGAATTCTTAACTGCATGCTGTATCAGACTTGTAGAGCTTTGAGTAACTAGACACTCTTTGTTCCTCACACACAAACCAAGTCTTTATCTGGTCTTTTGTTGTGCAGAAGTGAATGAACAATTTAAGCAGTCACTAAGACTTTATTTAGACATGTAGTGTTTTATCAATCCACCTATTATTGACACGGTTTCCTAAAAGACTGTGTATGCATGTTAATAGCCTGAAAGAGGATACAGAAGAGTATATTAGAATCCACTTAATTTGTCCTAGTTTTTCACATCACATACACACTGAAGAGGATAAGAGCAAAATCTCAGTATGTACAAGATTGACCCCTTGAGTAAAAGTTCTAATAAGGTACCTACTCTAAGTGGCTTCAGATAACAATGGGAAATATTGTATTACAAAGTAAGGGCTTGGCAACTTGAATACCTGCCACAGATTTACAATGACCTGTAATATGAATGGCAAAAAGAGGAGACTAGCTTAGCATTTGTTTTCTCCATTTACTTCACATTAACAGCATATGTTGGGAGGAGAAAAAAAAGTGATACCTCGATTTTAGTTTATGCCCAAATCCTGATGCTTGTGTACTATGCAAGGACAGCAGATTTCAGCAAAATAGAAACATCTCCAGCCACTTACCTTTGAGCTTCTGGAGTTCATCCCTCAGGTCAGGCCCAGCATGCACGAATATACTTTCAGAAACTGGATTCTTATCAGTGAGAGACTCATTACTGGTATTTACTATGGCTGTGCAGTTCAATAACGCTACATCTCCTTTCCTGAAGAAACAAGGAAACGGCTTATTTCAGGCTAAACGTAAGACTAAGTAGGATATCCTCAAATAAGCACTGACAAGCAAGGAAATGCCAAGTTAAAGGAAAAGCAGTAACAGTACTCCAATGCCCACACAGTGTATTGTACACTGACATGCTCACCATGCATAATCATCCTTTGCCTCTGACTAATGACGAAAGGTTACATGTTACCTGCCATTTCCTTAAAAACTCCCAGCCTCAACAGTAACTTAATGACGTATGTCAAAAAGACAGTGCTGTAGTTGCACTTAGGACAGTTAGCTAGAATATATGAAGCAGTGTGCTAAAGCAATGGAGTGTATCATGTTCCCAAAAAAACCCCATGTACACTCTCTTGGAGATAAGAGGAGAGCCCTTGTGGTATATTACTTTCAAAACTTCAACAATTTTTCCAGTGTAATTTTCAGTTTGCACACATACTATCCAGGGAACATTATTCGTGCTGCTGCTCTGCCTCAGACCATTGAGGACCTAAAGTGACACCGCAGCTAGACAAGTTTCCATTGCTTTAGTCCTGAAACTGTGAACCCGCAATTTGATCACACTCATTCTGCCATTCAAGGCTCAGACATGCAGAAGATAAACACAGCAGAGATGCATAAAAGACAATGGGATGGCAGAACTCTGACCTGCTTTTTGTCATGGCAGCAGTCATTAGAGATTTCGGGACCAAATTGCACAGGAAGGGAAATAAATATTCCCACACAGAGGAAAAGATTCAAATAACAGTTGAAATTGCAGACATTTATCACACCCACACCATAAGAGATGTTTAACCTTTTACTTCTGTCTTTCTTTACTTAATCAGGTTCAGGAAATCCATTAATAGTCCCCTTTCCTGCACATATTAACCAGGAAGAGGTTCAGGCTGATCCCTGAACCTGTGTCCCTGGGAAACCTTTCTCTCCTCACATTGATTAACAAAGAGCTACTCACCTGGAGAGTACATTCAAGTATCTGAGTTACAGGGAAGAAAAACTGATAGATTAAGTTCACCTCAGCACACTGTACTTTAGTCATAGATTTTGGTAGAAAACCATGGAGACAGAACACAGAATGGAAAAAGAAAGGGGGTGTGCGCGTGTATGTGTGTGTCTAAAGCCCAAAGCACGCCACAGTAAAGAAACACTGATGTAAACCAGAAGGAGGTTGGATTAGATGATCTCTAAGGTCCCTTCCAGCCTAGGCCATTCTATGATTCTATGAGTGAAAGCAGATAAAAGCAAATAAAGCAAAAAGCTAGTAGACAGAAAGTATATTTCTTAAAAATTTAAAAAATGGTATCAAAGTGCCCAATTACATCTTAATATTAAGCATTTAATATGACATTAGGAAGTACAGCTCCAGTCTGCTTCATCTAGGAACACCTATGAACATGCAGTTTATAACTTATAGTGGAGCAAACCAGCCTTGTAGATTTACAGTAAACAAAAAGATTCTTTCTTCCTAGGCTCGTAATGTTTGATTCAAGAAAAAAGGGTCTGAAGGCTTTATTCTATAGCAGCAGCTGTTATATGACCCAATCAGGTTCCACAGTAAATGGGGAAGTGATGGCAAACACATCAGAGCTACAAGGAACTTACCATAAGATTATTTTCGCATTGATGTCTTTCCTGTATGGAAAAGGTGATCTAACTTCAACTTGAGCTTTTTCAACTGGATTTTGGTGAGAGTCCAGCTGCTCAGCCTCATAGGCATCAGTCCAGCCTGGCAGACTATCAACATCCACAAACTGGGAAGGGGCACCCAAGGGATCCATGAGGTGGAAACAACTCCTTTCCCTCTGCTAACTCGTTACACTCCAATTCTCACTGGAGTCTTCCAGGTGCTTTAAAGGAAGAAAAATCAAACCAGGTCACCAGCTGTTCACTAAAAGTAATTCCCGTGGAGCCAGGCTTTTCACAAGACTGCAATGCAACTGCAGCTAGCAAAAACCAGAAAAATGTATTTCCAACGCAACCGTTCCTTCTGTTTTGTTATCTGTATCCAAAAGGCAATGCTGTAAGACAAACCTTTTCCAATAGTGCAAGAGGAAAATACTCTATTAAATTGGCCCAATTAAGTTTGTGAACTTGCATTTTGAAAATACTGAACACGATTTCCAAGTGTGGGAAGGACCTTAGTCTTTCTGAAAACTATTACTTCTTTATCTAACAAAAAGCAAATTTATAGCTAGGCATTTATAATCTACCCTTTCAGAGATTTTGGTCTAGGCCCAGGTCATACTTTAATAAGAAAAGGAAAAAAAAAAAAAAAAGAAAATTACTAAAAGAAAACACACTGCCCCCAAACGACCACAACCCCAAAATCCTAAACACAAACACTTCTTATAAACAGACTAATGAAAGCATCCTCCCTTCTCCCAAATCATACAACCCTTTGCAGTTCAGTGAATTCAGAAGCATTGCAAACAAGGCTTACAGTTGTTATTACAGCTGTGCACTTAGGCAGAAAACCCCTTCACCCATAGAGGTTTTGCAAGAAAGAGAGCAAAGCTGTAAATTTGAATGCTAGTGAGACTGCAGACTGTCCGTCATCCGACCTTTTTATTCTCTTTTAAAGGCTGAGATGACACCATTTGCTAGATTAAGACTCAAACTCACCAAAACACACTTTTCAATTGTCAGCACCCAACACCTACGCTACTGTATATCTATTGTAACTACTAAACCTTAGTAATGAATTAAGCTATCACAGACACATTCACATAAGTAACCTCAGCTTTCTGCATAAACACCTACTATTTAATCCTTTTCACGGGTAATAACTGCCACGAGTGGCAATTCTGAAACGTGAACTGTGAAGTATATTCATCAGCTATGTAAAAATAAATCACAGCCTCAAATACTAAAATAACAAAATATCCAAACCCAAGCCGAGGGGTAACAAAGGTCAACACTAGGACAAACACAATCCTAAGAGCATGTAAATAAGACTTTTGCCACAAAGGGTTGGGAGAAAGACAAACAGGAAGGTGATAACAGCTTAGAGTGGCTCCAACCAAAACCCCATCTACCACAGTGCCTTCCCTCTGGTGAGCAGCCAAAAACAGGGGCCTAAGCACGAGGGTGCGAGGCAGGCAGAAGAGGGGTGCACATAAGCTCCTGGATATTCCAACCCCCTAGTCCGTTGCCCCGGGGCC